ATCATCATCATCATCATCATAATCGTAATAATCATCATCCTAATCAGCATCCCCATCATCATAATAATTATGAACATGCAAATGATGATAATGATGATAATAATCAACATCATCATCACCCACACCCTCACCCTTACCCTCACCCTCACTAGCATCACCACCACCACAGACCATCATCACCATCAGCATCATTCCTGCTCCTCGTCATCATCATCAGCATCAGCATCGTCATCGACATCATCCTCGTTCTCAGCATCATCATCATCATCTCCATCATCAGCATCAGCATCATCACCAGCAGCAGCATCCTTATCGTCATCCACATCTACATCATCACTATCCGCATCAGCATCCTCATCATGCTCGTCATCATCACCATCATCATCACCATCATAATCCTTTTATCATTCAACAACATTATGTTCATCAGCAGCAGCATCACCATCATCATCATCATCATCATCATCATCAATACCACCATCCATCATCATCGCCAGCATCATCATCATCGTCATCATTATCATCATCATCATCAACATCATCATCATCATCATCATCATCATCATCAGCATCATCATCATCATCATCATCATCATCATCATCATCATCATCATCATTATCCTCATCATCATCATCATCACAATCAGCATCATCATCATCATCGTCATCATCATCAGCACCATCTCATCACCACCCCCAGCGTCACCATCATGGTCACCATACTCATGACCATACTTCCCAACAACATCACAGTCATCGTCACCATGACCGCGCTATGATCATAGCCAACCACTTCCTCGCCCACAACACCATTATTGTTATCTTCGCAATTGAGATCACCGCTGTCGTGATCACAGTCGTCATCCCCATCGTGAGCATGCCCACCATCCGCATTGCCCCTCGATGCCGTTGTAAGCTGCCACTGGGCATGGCCAGCGGTTCCCCCTCCAAGAGAGAGACTGCAGTAGGGAATCCCCATCCCCTGACATCCGACGATGCGGGGACAGTTTTTCGTCAAGGACACTTTTGTTGACGGCCCGGGACCCGAAAACGGCACTCGACACCGAATTTTGGGAAAACCGCCGGGATTGAAGAGAAGCAGTCCGCCGGATGTCTGCGTCCCAAGCTGCTGGCTTTGACTGCATCCTCGACTTTGAAATCTCCAGAGCGTCCAAAACGTCCCAAAGAGGCCCTCAAGATCGCCTCGCCTCCCCACCAAGATGGACGCAAAGGCCACCAATGGGTCCCCAAGAGGCGCCGCCAGCATGCCCCCAAGAGGCTGGAAACGGGCCCCCAAAAGGTACCCAGGAGGGCGCAAACAGGCCCCCAAATGGCCCCAAAGAGGCAACCAACAAGAGGCCTCCAAGAAGCCCCCGAGAGGCCTCCAAAAGGCCTCTAATCTCTAATCCTCAACCCAAGCACGGTGGCGGGATAGGCCGAAGGCCAGTGGTAGATCCGCCGCCCCCTGTGGCATGCCACAGGCGTGCACGGAGTGCCAGATTTAAATAGATGCTGGTTTGAAAACGCCGAATTGCCCAAGATGGCCCAGACGCCTCCAAGACGGCCAAGATGGCCCATGACGGCCCAATATATCATCCAGACGGCACAAGAGGCCCCTAAGACGCCCCCAAAGGCCTCCAAGAGGACCTCCAGCAGACCAAAATCATTGATGTTCCTTAGGTTGCTCAATGAATTTAGCGTTCTCGACTTTTCGGGCTCCCGACGCTCCAAGACGGGCACACAGGCCCCCAAGATCACCCCAGGACGACCCCAAAAGGCCCGCAAGAGGGCCAAAGACGGCCCAAGAGGCCCCCAAGACAGCCCAAAGGGCCCCCAAGAGGGCCCCAAGACGGCCTCGCATACCTCCAAGACGGCCCTAAAGCGCCTAAAGAGGGACCCAGGGATGCCCAGAAAGGACCCCGAGACGGCGTCCGAAGGTGAAGATGATCCATAGATGCCCCCAAGGGCCAAGAGGCCCCAGGAGACCCCAACAGGCCCCAGGAGTCCCCCAAGAGGCCCGTCAGAGCCCCTCATGCGCTCCCAGGAAGTCCCCAGGAGGTCCCAAGAGGGCCTGAAGAGGCCTCCTCTTCTTCCTCCTCCTTCTCCTCCCCTTCCTCCTCCTCCTCCTCCTTTCTCTTCCTCTCCCCAGTGTTCCCCCAAGGGGTTCCACCGGCTGGGGGGAGCACATCGTCCGATAGCTTGGCCAGACTTCGGCCCAACGTCCGGCCGCATGGCCATGCTTCCAAAAAACCTGGGGCGGCGGTGATTCGCCGTGGGCGTCTTCGATCCGCCGCCACCTTCTACTTGCAAAGGAGTGCACGGCGCGCCACCCTTTGGGCCATTCCAGCAGAAACCCTGTGAAGTCTAGGCTCAGGTCGCTGGCCACGCGAAGAACTGGAACAGGTGGGAGGCAAGGTTCTTCTTCCGCACAAGATGGCCCAAGAGTGCCTTCAAGGTGGCCCAAGGTGCCCTCTAAGAGGGTCCCGAGACGCCTCCAAAACGGCGGAGATGGCCCAAAGAGAACCCAAGATACCATCAAGACGGCCAAAGATGACTCCAAGACGGCTCAAGATGCCATCCAGACGGCCCAAGAAGCTCCCAAGCGGCTTCCATGAGGGCTCCAATCGTTTTCGAGTTCTCGCCTTGTGGGGCTTCCAACGGCCCAAGGCGACCTCAGAGACCTCCACGATAGCCCCAAGACAGCCCCAGAAGCCTCCAAGTGGGCCCCAAGACGGGCCGAGAGCGCCTCAACACTGCTCGAAATGCCCCCAGGACGGCCCCGTGAGGGCCTCCAGACGGCCCCACGTGCCTAAAGCGCTCAAGGAGGGCCCGACGATGGCCCAGAGAGGCCACCACGACGGTTTCCAGTAATGCCAAGAGGATCCATGTTGGCCTGGGGAGGCCCTCAAAGCCCCAGCACGCCCCCAAGAGGCCTCTTAGAGGCCCCTCGGAGGCCCACACGAGGATCTCAGGAACCCCCCCAGGAATCCTCCTCCTCCTTCTCCTCCTCCTCCTCCTTCTCCTCCTCCGTCTTATAGTCCTCCTCCTCCTCCTCCTCCTCCTCCTCCTCCTCCTCATCCTCATCCTCATCCTCATCCTCATCCTCATCCTCATCATCATCATCATCATCATCATCATCATCATCATCATCATCATCATCATCATCATCATCATCATCATCATCATCATCATCATCATCATCATTATCCTCCTCTCCTCCTCCTCCTCCGCCTCCTCCTCCTCCTCCTCCGACTTCTCCTCCTCCTCCTCCTCCTCCTCCTCCTCCTCCTCCTCCTCCTCTCCCTCCCTTCCCCAAGGGTGTCCCCAAGGGTTTGCATAACGGCTGTGGGAGCTCATAGTTCAATGGCTTGGCCAATAATTGGCCCAACGTTTGGCCACAAAGGCATTCCGAGGAAGGTGTGGAGGGGGCAGCGATGACTCGCCGTAGGCGTCTTCGATAAGGGCGAATGCTGAAGCAACCCGTGGCATCGCCATGTTTGTACTGATGGATGTAAGGGCGGGCACCGCCTCAATTTGACAGTAGAGTGCGAGTGGAAGCCGCTTTACGAGAAGCGCCTGAAGCCGCAATGACTACGAGGGTGATCGGAAGAAACAGGAGAAAATGCCAAACATGAGTTCAAGGATCCGGATGCTCCCCTAGAAGGGCGAGAATGAATTGGGAGCAACAGCATGATGAACTTGTGTATGTTTACATGTCCTACGCTTCACTGTGCACAAGCGAATACCTCCTGGCGGAACCACTGAGACGGACAGAAAGAGAGGCAGAGAGAGAGACACACAAAAACAGAGAGAGAGAGAGAACACAACATCGAGAGGGAGAGAGAGGCACATATGGATGTATATATAATCATCTCTAGAGCAAAAGCAAACATGGATAGAGAGAGATGGTACCACCATGGGCGCAACCGCCTTAGCATTTCCGTCTTTGGCACCGCTGTTGAACCGCGTTGCAAGCACTCTTCGGGACGTTGTGCTTTCGGGCTGGCGGGCACCGCGCGACTGCAATGACACCGTGCTTCGGAAAATATGAAATGTTGCAAACTCGTCGTCTTTGCATTCTCAATCGTGGCAGGTTCCATCGGGCAACACAGCTTGTGCGTAAGACTCTGCGGAGGAACGGACAGAGAGAGAGAGAGAGAAAGAGAAAACAGAGAGACAGAGAGAGGGATAAATGAAAAGAGAGAGGCAGAAAGAGAGGGAGATGGTTAGATAGTGTGCCCTGTATATACATACATGTAGAGAGATAGAGAGCGAGAGAATTCCGCTTCGCCTTCTGTTGCACTCGGCAGACCCTGACTCTGTCCGCATCGGGTGACCAACAGAAGTATCTTGCCTGAGATTTCCAACCAGCCTCTGCAAGACGGCGGAGGACGATGCGCCCCCCCTTGCAGTGGGTAGGATCAGAAATCCATCAAGTGCCAAATGTGGTCCAGGTGCCCGCACGTTGGCATGACGAGGCCGCCGCGGTGGCTGGCGGCGCAGCGGAGCGGTCGCAGACGAGTCCCCGAGATCTTGGCCACGCTGGGCGTCGTGGTGCCTCTGGGTAGTCGGCAGTATCAAGCGCAAAGGAGGAGGAGGAGGAGGAGGTGGAGGAGGAGGAGGGATAGGAGGAGGAGGAGGAGGAGGAGGAGGAAGACGAAGAGGGGGAGGACGAAGGGGGGGAGGAGGCGGAGAAGGACGAGGAGGAGGAGGACGAGGAGGAGAAGGGGTACGATGCTTTCCGCTCCGCATGGGCTCCTCTCGGTCAGGCAGTCTGGGACTACCCCCCCGTGGGGTTGCTGGAGAGGCGTGCAGCCGCAGTGAGACAAGGAGGGCAGGAGAAGAGACGAAGAGGAACAGGACCGAGGGCAGAGAATGAGGGCGAAGGAGGGCGGAGTGCTGAGAGGAGGACTGGGAGCAGGAACGCGAAGACGAGGGCAGGGAGTTGGAGAAGGGAAGGATGGGAAGGTGGAGCGAAGAGGGGATGGGGAGGAAAGGTCCTCGAACCCGGCGCCATCCCCGACTTCGGCATCCTGCTTGCCGCCAGGGTCCCTCACGAGGCTCGCCTGCTGCTTTGACCACCTTGCCATGAAAGAAACGGGTCTGGTGCGGCATCTCACGGGAGCCTTCCATGCGATCTTGCTGAGCGCTGGCTCTTACGAGTCGACACTAACTGACGCAAGTCGACGCTAATAGAGGCGAGTCGACACTAACCGACCCGAAAAATCGATGCTACTCGACGCTTTCTCATCGACTACCAAATGCTAGCGCACGGCACGCTAATGCTTTCTGAAAATGGGATTACGAAGACACACAAGGCTCCCATGATGTGCTCAGAAGCGGAAGTGAGTCCAGAACCCATTACGGTGTTCTCCAGGACCAGCTCTTCATCCAGAGATGCTTTCTGACGGCCCTGGGGCCCGCGAAAAGTTCGAGAGTCCGAAAACAGCAGGAAAGCTCCAGGACCCGTTTCTCTCAGGACCCGTTCGTTTCATGGCGGTACTTCTTCGGGGCCAAGACGTTGAAAGACAGCGTGGTGACCTCGGAATTGCCAACGACCTCACCGCGCGGACCGTCACCGAACGTTCTTGGGATCTGGGAGGCCCCGGTCGCCCGAGACGTCCTTGGAGAATGACCCGAGTCCCAAAAACGTGCAGTGGCCCTGAATGCCCGCCGACTCACCACGCGGTGTGGTCATCACACCGGAGAGGGCTCTCAGACAGGATCCGAGTAGATGGGATCGGAGGATCACCCCACATCGCCGATGCACCGGCGATGCATGGGCAATGCATCGGCGACGTCGATCATGCATCGGCGACATCGGCGTGGAGAAAATCGGGCTCCACATCGCACCGCATCGCCGATGCATCGGCAATGCGGCGCGATCCTCCGACCCGATCTACTCTGCTCATATCTACGAGGCCCAAGTAGAATCATTTGAGGCCCTGCGAGCTCCGTCCACCGCACGGGATCGCCCTCTGGGATGCCTATGACGTCCAGCCAGTCGTGGGGCACCGGCTTCGCGCACGCCCCTGGCTTCGCCCACGACCCATGGACGTGCGCGGGTTTTGTAGCCTCGTCGGTGCAGAGGTCCTCGCCAGGCTCGGAGCCGGCGTCGCTGCCTGCCATTTTTCGTCTTGACTTCTGCCGTTGTCTTTCTTAACCTTTGTATGCTCATTTGCATGCATACACCTAACAGTATGTATGTGTATATATAAGATATAGATGCCGTAGCAGCTCTGGGACGTGGCCAAACGGATGATACACAGACGGCTCTTTTTCCCAATCTTTCCTGTGGCGGAACTCTGTTCCGCTGGGTTTGAAAAGCAAGTGCGACATTGGACCACTTAAAAAGGCCATCTGCTGATCAGCGAGCCTCTCGGGGCCCGAGGGGGCACGATCCTTCCTGGGAGGGCGGGCTGGGAGCACAAGCTCTCTGAGCTAAATGGATACGGAAAGACGCTCAAACATCACACCGGTCAGTTTGAACTCGCGGCCACTCCTCGACACTGCTCTGCATGTGTCAGTAAAACAGAATACATGCCGTAGCAGCTCTGAGACGTGACCAAGACGGATGATACACAAACGACTCTCTTCCCGATCTGTTCTGTGGTGAAACTCTGCTCCGCCGGGGCTGAAAGGTTCTAACGCCATACAGTTATGCAATTTCAGAAAAAGTGCCAATTCGGGGGGGAAAAAAAACTGTGCGCACAGTTCCTCGGGCTTAAAAGGTTATAACGCCATACAGTTACGCAGCTTCAGAAAAGTGCCAATTCGGGGGAAAAAAACAAAACCAACAAAAAAAAAAAAAAAAAAACGGTGGGCACAGTTCCCGCGAATTCTGGGCGCTCCTGAACGCTCCTGGGCTGCCGACGTGGCCCCGAGCAGCCCAGGAGGCCCCCACGACTGCCCCACGAGGGGGCCCAGACGGGGGGCCCAGACGGGGAGCACGAGCTGACATTTCGAGCCCTCCGCCCCAGGACGAGACCCGACACGGTCGGCAGCCTCCTGGAGGACCCCAAGAGACCCCCCAGGGGCCACCGACGGGCATCCACGACCCAGGCACGGTGGCGGGAGGGGCCCAGGGCCATCCTGCAAAGCTGTGCTGACAATCATAGCGAGTATCTGTGTGTGCGTTTTGCCCATATGTCGGATCTCGGGAGCCCTGAACCCAAAAGCGTGTTCATCTCTTGGGGGCGCATTTCTCACCTCCGCCGCCTTCCGCCGAGCTTCCGCCGGCGGAGGCGGCCTCGTTCTCCTTCCGCCGACCTTCCGCCGCTTCCCGTCGCGGAAGAGATGACAACTCCTTCGATCCCCGAAGGCAAGGCCCTTTTTGCAACGCCGGAGGAGGAGGAGGAGGAGGAGGAGGAGGAGGAGGAGGAGGAGGGGGAGGAGGCGTTGCCCTAATCGAAACGGGGCGCGGCGCCCCCCCACCGCGGCCGCGCGCCCCGCCTGGGCGACCCCGCGCGTCCGCCGCGCGATAGGCGGACTGCCTGGCCCGCCTCAGCCTGCCCGCCTGCGCTTGCGCGGCGTTGCCGAGCCCGCATCCAGCGGCTCGGTGGGACTGGCTGAGGCCAGCCCCGCGGCGCAGCCCTCCCAACGGGGCTGTCGAGGGACAGTGGGTCCCAGGCTGCGGGCCGCGGCCCGAGGCACCGCCTGCGCCAGGCCGAGCCTGCCTGGCACCGCAGGCAGCGGAGGCTGCGTGCGGCGGACCGCACACTGCTGAGAGTACGTGCAGCTACTGAGCGACTTCGGCGGCATCACTCAGCAATGGGAGGCTGGAAGTGTGTACAATGCAGGACTACCAATGGGAATACGTTCTGGTATTGCAAGCAATGCGGTGGTGGATATCATCAGAATAAAACGAAGAGAACGCCATCCCGTGATAAGCCCAAGCAAGATACGCGAGACAGATCGGCAAGCCGTAAGAGAAAAGAGGGTCCAGTGCGCAAAGTTATTAATGAGATTGGACCTATGCACCCAAGTCTTGCCAGAGTTGCTGAGTCTTGGGGTAGCTCCACCACCGCTTGAAGAGAAAGAAAAAGTGAAAGAGTACTACAAGCAGAAGCAGTGGAAGCGCATCTACAAACTGGCGGAGCTCATCATCTCGCCCAAGGCTGCTGGCAAATCGGCGGCTCTTGAGACCACGGAAGCTTCAGTTCTTAAGGCAGCTATTTTACAGTTGTTGCCAGTGGTTGAGCAGCAGAAGTCCACCAGCAAGAGAGCAGATATACTTAAGGAGAAGTTGGATAAAGTCGAGAAGCAGCTTGGAGAGTTGGTCAATCAACGAGACGATTTGCATAAGCAGTTCACCCTGGCAAAGGAGCAGCTCAGTACCTTCGAGCAGGACCAGTACAGGCATCTCTCAGCTGATATGGACTCTCATATGCAAGTTGATCAAAGTACTGTGCCTGCTCGGCCACCACCGCCACCACCCCAGGCGCCACAGGGTCTGGGTACTCAGGGGACCGCGGCTGGCTCTGCCCGTCCCCCACCCCCGCCCCCTCCTCCCGCGGAGGGGATGGGGAAGGGAAAGCTCAGTGCGTTGTCACAGATCACCGCCTCATTGCAGCAGATACTGGACCAGCAGAGAAGCCAGGCAGCCCAGATTCATGCACAGCAGAAGGAATCTCAAATGCAGGCGATGAAGTTGCAGTACCTTTTCGCACAGTTCGGCGCGTCAAGCGGCCAGACGGAGATTCCTCAGACGCAGGCATCGCCAAGGGTACCACAGCAAGCAGCTGCAGTTCATCCGACACAGCCACAGACTGCACCGTCGCAGTCACAGAAGCCTACGCCTGTGGCAGCATCCGCCCCCGTGCCTCCGATGGTTGTTCCATCTCAGTCACAGATGCCAAAGGATGCCGCGGCTGCCGCAGCTCAGCAGCGCCCAGCGTCTGAGACGTCTGCCACGGAGACATTCGACGCGGGAAATTATTACGCCAAGATGCAGGAGGATCAGCGCCGCAGAGACCAGCGAGAGTATGCGAAGCGCAAGCAGAAGATGAGCAGAGGCGTATCGAAGAAGAAGCTGGGGGTCTCTTGCGCGATGAATACCAGATGGACTTCGACATCAGTCAGGAGGCGGAGTTGGAACGCCAGTTCAAGTTGGATCAGCAAGCGAGGGCAGCGGCACAATTCGAAGAGGAGCAGCGAATTATCAATGAAGAAGCCGCGGCCAAGATGGCTGGTGTTCCACCCCCTCCGCCGCCGCCCCCAGTTGCGGAGGTTGCGGCATCGCCATCACACTGGCGTTCATCTTCATCATGCCGGATCCCTGGCACCTCACAGCCTTGCGGACCCCAAGTTGCACCACAGCAGTTCGACCTGACCGCGCAGGGCGCCAAGACGGAAGAGCGCAAGGGTTCCTCCACTCGCAGCAGGTCAGATGGAGGCCGCACCGAGCGCATCCGCCGTGGCAAGCCTGAAGATCTCGGCAACTCAGAGGAGGTTCGTCGGGAGGCGGGTTTTCACATCCCAGGCGCGGCGCACGGAGAGGCCTAGCATCAGCTGAGCCCCCAGAGGTGCAGCAGCAGCGCGTTGTGCATTTTGCCCCGGCGCTGGAGTTGCACACTCACATCGACGAGATTGGGGATTCCGTCGGTGACAATTCAAGCAGTTCACATCTACATGTAGCAGCGGGTGAAGGTGTGAGTATCGACCGCTCTAGACAATCAGGCACGCCTAGCTTCGAATTGGATAAGGAGCCTATCGGCACGCACTGCTCAGCGTACGATGCTGCTCACAGGGGCGCCAGGGGGTACCAACCTTCGGCTTTGGCCGTCGGCACGCACTGCCCAGCGACCCCATCGAGTCAGCTCATGTGCGCCAGAGGGTACCGACCGCTAGGCAGTGAAGGGCATCGCCAAGAGGCTTTGGGGTGCCTGCCTACGAGGCAGTCGTCTTCTCCAGCGCCATCGGGCGGAGCGAGAGGCGCATTCATCGTCGACATCTACAACTGCATGTTCGGCTCCACCGAGGATCCACCGAATTTATTTCAGATGGGCGATATGGCGAGGGTTAGTGCTGCGCTACCGCAGCACCATGCTGGCTTGGAGGTTGACGGCCCCAACGTGCTCGTCGATCTGACAGTTTCGCAGCCAGCTACGCCAGCAGCTTGTCGAGTTCAGCGCGTCCTTACACTACCAGAGTTGCATGGCCAAGTACAGTGGCAGTTGCAGCTCTCTTGGGACTATCGTGGTATGCTCTTGCACCCGTTTGCTGACTTGGCTCTGCGTATGCACCCTCCCCGTCCAAGCACGGGCTCGGCCATGCATCATGCATATACAGACGCATCTCTGCACTCCAAGTCTCCCGAGCTGGCGGCGTTCGCGCTGGCCCACGTCATTCAGGACTCCCTGGGGTTTGCGTGTCAGGGCTATGTGGCGGCACGAGCGGCGACATCTCACTCCTTCGACAACATGGCTGAGCAGACCCATAGCACCGAGGTCGAACTGCTGGGTGTTATCTGGGCGGCCATTTTTTCCCTTCAGCTGCCGTTCGACGAGCAGGTGTACATCATCTGCGACAACATGGCGGCGGTGGACAAAGCTTTGAGTCGAGTGCGATTGGTTTCTGAGTTGGACTAGATGGCGGCCACTGTTCTCAGAGACGCGCAGCGTGTGCGTCCAATCACGGTGGTGCAGGAACCTGGTCACCAGGACTACCCTTGGAATGAAGCAGTCGGCTCGATCTCCAGGCACTTTACTAAAGAATCCAATGTTCCACCAGCTCTACCTGAAGTTCCACGGGAAGCTTTGAAGTACACGGTGGATGCTGAGTGGCAGTTTACAAGACTTTTAGATCCAACGACATCTCCATTTCCTTGCTTCCTGGAAGATGGTTTTCACTTTGATGTGTGCAAGCAGAAGTTACCGCAACCTGATGAACATGCAGAAGGCAAGCTGGCGGTTTCTCGTGCTCCTACGCGTATTAATTAGAAGATAGCGACCTTCAACAATGTTACGATTTGCTCTGGCGACGACGGCGAAGGTCTGGACAGCTCGGTTCACAACTTTGCCCGACAGGAGGAGCGCAGAGCCCGTGCACGGCATCTTCGGCTACAGCTCAAGGACGATGCGGTGCTACTGGCTGGCATCCAGGAGACATCACACCCTGTAGGTAAGTTT